TTTTTATACATCATATCATATAAATGTCCTGTAATTATGGGAGAGATGTCGTGGAAATTGTCTCGCAATAATGCAGACAACTAAGTTTCTAGATTACACCCAATTTCTATCAATTCAGCTCCACAGAACACTCAATTTGGCTGCGCTGCCAATCGTTTTACTCGCCACGCTTCTGATTTTCATCGCCAAAGATTGGACATGGGAAGGTCCCAGTGCGAATCAGTCGGCCGGTGAAAACTTCAGTCCTGGCAGTGTTCATTCACTGGTAAGTGTACCTCTGCATTCACTACTGAATACAGCTTACATACGGTTTTCAGCTGGGCACGATCTCTGTGCTGATTCTAATTGTGCAACCGCTGATGGCGTTGATGCGATGTCAACCAGACACCGGTGCTCGTCCCATCTTCAACTGGACGCATCGTTCGCTTGGAATCATCGGAATTTTCTTAGCAAGTAAGGCTATGGATCATAAAAGAAGGAGAAAACATTCGGCATTGATCAGTTGGGGTGCGCCATACACTCTATTCCTATTTGGTATCGTAGGAGATCTGGAATGCCATTTGGCCGCTCAATGACCTGTAGGGGCCAACAGATGTACAATCAGTGTTCGGACGCAGTATTAAGGAGTTTACCCAAACGTGTTTGGCGGCAACATGCCAAACCGCTTTCCAGTCGGGTTGCTCCAGTTGTGTCGCTATTATCAATCCTGCCCGTCCAAATACCAACTAAACTACTGGGTGGAGGCAGAGCGCTTTCCAAGTCCTGCTCAGCAACCAGCGCACCTTTCGCTCTGAAAGCGCCACACCTCGCTCCCTTGGCAGCCAAGTACTGCTTCGTGTGGCCCAGACACTTCGATACTTTCCTCTCTTTGTCGTAATCGCTTCATTTGAGGTTCAGTCATCAATTTTCTTTTCAGTTATATCGATTCTGATCGCGACCAACTCGTTCGTTTCCTTATGGGGAGATTCAGCCTGGACGTTCGGTGTCATGATCTTCTACATTGTGATACTGATTTTGAGCATCATTTTGTTCGAGGTATGTCTCTTAGAAAACAATCTTCTGACCGGTGTCAGCTATAAATTCTGGATTCCGACAACCTCCCTTCAATCGTCGCGTTTACACCTTTCGAAAAATTCTGCAACCCCTCCCCCTCTCACCGTCACCATCAGTATTCGGAGACTTTCAATACAACCCCCGACTACCACTCACCGTCATACCATCGTCGCTAGGATCTATAGTTCTATAGAAGTAGTGATACTCTATAAAGAATAACACTCAATGTAGCACAAAAAATTCTCAAATTGCGTTCTTTTACACGACTTCTTATGAAGTTTTTGTCAAATAATGAAACCCGTCAAAACAGCCCACTTTCTAAACATACTGTCCCTTCGCATTTTACTTCGGAGTAGTTACGTTCAAATGCGACCCAATGGACACGGAACTGCCCAAAAACACGTTCTATGTGCGGAACACCTGCTTCCACCGGAATATTGCCAAACGACGATTGCTGCTCTTGCCTTCTCCGAAGAGAGTGTTTCCACAAAACGTTTCCACTCCACTCCCGCTACGATGAGCGCTTCAGTGGTATTTGAATTCTCTCACATAAGTAAAAGTTCTGCAGCTTAGCGCGAGAGTCGAGAGCTTCCTTTACTTGTCAATTCACTCTCTCCAACCGCTACTACCGGTCCTTCATCCACTCACATTTAACCTTTCGAATCAACTCCCCCTCACTACTTCACCACCTACCCATCCCACGCCCTCTTACCATCTCTTCCTCTCCCCCCCACCCCCGCCTCCGCCTTTCCCACCCTCACCCTCTCCCCTTCGCTTCTCGTCGCACTCTCCCCCCCCCTCGCTTGCCACTCCCCCCCTTCCTCGCCTCCTCCCTCTCTTTCACCCCCATCAGCGGCAAACTATCCTCCCATTTCGCGATTATCTGAAGAGAACGTTGACACTGTTTCTGACTAGACTTGAAGTTCAAATTAATTACCTCTTCCCCCCCCCCCCCTCACCTCCCCTGCCCTCAATTCTTGAAACGATGGGTTAAACTAGTCCGCGATTTTCACTTTCCAGCTCCTCACCTATATGAAAAACAAAGCTCCGAATAAGACCACCGCTATGGAAATGCGCAATCGCTCCACCCATCGTTACGACGATTCTGGACGAGTTATCAGCAATCCGCCGAAGATCATTAATTCCAAGGTTGGTGTCGCTTTTTTATATTCTATACCTATCATCTAGCAAATAAAACTCAAATCCTGACAGGGTTCAGAATTTGAAATATTTCACGCAAAATTAGTTCCAGCCATTGCACGGTGTGTTGGCACTGTACGTATTTTTCGTGCTGTTCTCCCTTTGTGTGGCCGCTTTGCTGATTGTGATGCTATCGGTCTGAATCCACCAAGAAGACTGAGACAGCCGTAATACAGTAATCTGTCAAGTAAAAATCCTGAATGAATTACATGGATATTGATTGTTTAGCATGACGACTAGTCACATGATTTTTTTCCCAATTTTTCATTGCTCGTTCATTTAAAATACGAATTGATTCCTGTGAAAGATGTCATATTTTCTTATTCCTTGCCTCATACACCGGTATTACCTGAAGACGTCATTTACGCCTCGTTTCTATCGAATATATGATTTTTCAGATTTTATGCATAATATAACATGGCATTTTACTTTTATACCTATGTACATTAGTTTCACAAATTTGTAACATTTTTTATTCATTTATTTACAACTGAACTCGCTCCTTTTGTTCTAACTCTGTGAAGATATATTATTCCTATAGATATGGCAGATTTTTTTAAATTGTATTAACAACAATATTTTCTTTGAAACTTTGCTCAGTTATCGAGAACCTTGTATGATGCACACGTGATGATAAAGCTTGAAAGTGAATAAAGTGTTTGGTAAGGTCTACTAGTATACGCCACGCACACGACTTCCATCGAGAATCGTCAACGCGTTTGAATGAGTATTCGGAAATGCTGGAACACGATTGTAAGTGAATCCTTACAATGATGACCAGAGAATAACAGTCTTCCCTACTTCATCGGCGATTGCCTAAAATTTCCAAGATTGGGTAAATGATTTCTAACCGGTGATTTCCACTGAATATTTGAGTTTTGCGTAGGCAACGTGATCGGCTGGTGTGCGCTTTCATGGTAACTCGGATCTTGGATCGAATTTCGGTCTAGCCAGCCGAGCATTCAATCCCTCGGAGTTCGATCAAATGGTGCAAGGCTTGTTCAGTAGGACAAAAACACTAGTTCTACGCGAGTGGCCCCCGCAAGTTGTGGTATAGGCTAAACTTTCGCTCCGCGACTACGATATCGAAGTAAGATGCGTGGCGCGTCGCTTGAAAGGGGCTGGTGAACGTTAAAATCTTAATCTTTAATTATCAACTGGTCGACTCGAATAATATCTGGTACAGCGCCAACTTCGGTTGCTTATCTAGCAAAATGGCAATGCTGGCTAACAACTGCCTAGAATCAAGTGAATAAGATCTTGAAGGAGCATAACTGCTCCTGGCCAAAGAGCGAAGCCAATGGATTCCAAATGGAGCAGAATGCGTGGCGCGTCCTTGAAGGAAGTGATTACGATAAAGAGGGAACGCATCGGAGAAGTATATCCGCTACATGAAGCGGCTACTTGTCGAGCAAGAAAGCAAGGTCTAGCTTTTCAAGACGAAAGGTGCGGTGCTGAGCAGGCTTGAAAAGCGCTCCGCCCCAAAAGCGATCCGCCCACTAGTTAGTTGGTGATTTGGACGAGCTGTGTTGCCAGCAGCGGCACAACTGGAGCAACTCGACTGGAGCATGGATTGGCATGGTGCCACCAAACGCGTTGCGGTAAACTCGTCCATACGTCCGCCTTCTAGCCGTTGCCCGTCCTTGAGGGAAAATCAACGGTTGAGCAGATGGGTTCGTTTTTCACGTTTTCTTGACGGATTTCTCTGTTTTTTCGCCACTGGCGTACCATTGGGCCTCCATCCCTTCTACAGCCCAGAACCTACCGTAATCGGTGCCTTTAAGGAATCAATCAACGCCGAATGCTTCACGCTTTATTCCAACCCAGGAATCTGCTTAGCACCATTTAGATGGCAAGATGACCGCGAAAATCACTGACTTCCAATAAGCCAAAAATACTGGAGAACTTATTTATGTTCGAAAATTAGTTTTTCTTTGAAAATGTTTCTGAAAAGCTTAACGCACAAGTCAGATGAAATTCAGCAGGTGCAGTTCAAATCTTCGTGAAGTAATTGATTACTTACACCGAAGAATTCACACCGAGGTTAAAATTGTCTCTTGGAAATATTTTATGCACTTATTCATTGCTAAGACAACCATTGAGAACAAAAGAATTTGTGAATGATATTGTCACATACCTACCATATTCGCTCATTGCATTGAAGTGTTCGTCCGTGTTTTGACTTATCAAAATTGTTTTCACAGTTGTTGACCGTCTGTTTTTATACCAGTAGTAGATAAGTACAGCATGAACGCAAGCGATACGATAAGAAGATACCTTAAAAAGACAGCTATGATTTTATGGTGAGAAGGTGTTAAAGAGATGTCCAAGCGATTCACGAAAAAAGAAAAAACGATATAAATGGCCTCGCCCGAGAAAACCGAACCCCAATCCTTACCGAACTGAAGTTGGTCATTGATGCTGACCCTTACATAGCTCTAAACATTCTCTCAGCCAGGGTGAATATCGGTCGAGGAAATCCTCGACAGGGGGGTCGTACCTGTTGGGCTGGTCCATGGGGGGTCGTACTCTTGGGGGTCAGTAACAGAAGTGGTATCATGGTGCAGATAGGTAATAGGGTATAGCGCAGCAGAAAATGAAAACATCCAAAAAAACATGATATTAAATTTTCTTTGCAGGTTCAGTCGCTCCATTCCTCCACCTTCATGAGAAGGGCGTATTTGAAGGCAGTACAAAGAATGAAAGTGCATCCCCGCAAAGAAGAGTGCCACATGTGCGCACGCGCTGCAAAGGCACCTCCTCCGCCTATCACTCGCTCCTTCTCCCTTAATACCTCGCTGAGAATGACGCTGTTGTTAGGGACCCTGTCGGAAAAACGACAACCGTGAAGAAAAAGCGCTGGGCAAATGAAGTTGTTTTTTAGGTTACAGGAATAGCACAACACACTATGTCTACTACAATACAGTTTCGTTCGAAGGTCCCCATCATATATAACACCTTTCAATCGATTCTGCAACTGTGAGTGGAGGAGGGATGCATGGCTTATACCAATACCAAATCGGATGATGACGATTGCTCCTATTCTTATTGTTTGCGTTCAAAGATATTGTTCTAGACACATTCCGAGTGTTGCCAACGAGTCACACTTGCAATGGTGAATGAGGGAGCGGATTTCCAGGTGGCCGGATCCGACCTCGATAGATCCTCGACGCAATTATCTCTTCAACCAAAAAGCTGTAGAAGAAAACTAAACAGACCATCAGGAAGCGCAAACCTTCCGCTTTCCAAAACTATCTTCCCTTTTTCAGGATCTTACAATATAAGAGATATATTGCTCTTGAAGTGGCAAAAACTCGCGTGAAAATTCGGCCTCCTCGACATTTACTCGACGAAATTTGACAGACCCTATCTTTCTGCAAGGAAGGCTTCCAGAGCAATTTCGATGCTTGTTGGAAACGCGAAATCCAGCTCTATCTAACTCTACCTCAAGCTGCTTCAAAGGTTGTGAAATGGAGGAATGCAACCTTTTCATCGAGGGTGTAGATTCGGACGTTTTTTTTTGAAATTTCGGCAAATCTGACCCAGTGACAATCGCGCCGCAGCTGCCGTTGAATCGGCCTTTGATACACTCGGCTGTTTTGATATACTCAAGCAAGAATCAAGATTGAATCGCAACCCCGTGTCTTCAGGATTTCTGTGCGTTTCTGAACGAACCTCGCCTTGAGGTCACACAAAGTTAATGCCTCTTTCCTCGAGTCGATATTTCAGTATGTACACAAAAGTATGCAGCGATGGAAGACGTGCATAGATGACAAGATGAAGCGTCCTTAGCATTATTTTGCAGAATTTTTTTGATTGTTTTGATTTTTTTGATTTTTGTTTTGCAGGATTTATTTTAATTGAATTAATTTGCTCTGTTAGAGGGGGTCGTGCCAGGATCTCGATTTCGGGGGGGGGTCGTACCTCTGCGACCACGTACTCGACACGATTTTCACCCTGCTCCTCAACCGA